ACTCGTAATTCATTTATGAACGTTGCCTAAAAAGTTTGAAATTCTCTTCGTTCATGATGGTATAAGTAATGGTAGATCACTCAGTTCAATGGATGCGGTGAGCGCTTACAATGTTATGCAAAAGTACGGAAAAACCTAAGAAGAGCACCCAACAGATAGTTAATGAATACAGTACCTCCAAGATTGCCGACCACAGAATTGATGAATTATGACGTTTTTAATCACTACAGGCTGCTCGTCTGCAGAAGCTTCAGTCCAACGATGAAAAACGACGAGAGTAACTCTGTTATCGTTTTCGATCAGAGGATTCTCTCCACAGATGAAGCCATATTCGTTCAGGAGGAGTGATTAAGTGCCTCATTTCTATGACGTGGCAACCTGCGCCACTCTGTTCTATGTCAAAGGCAAAATTATCTGAGTGCTGTGGCTTGGGTTGGTAGAAAAGGAGTAAGACAATTGTAATATGTCTTGTGCGAAACAGTTCGGGTGAATTTCTTATCAAAATTAACTAGTTCACCCCCAACTAGAGCAGTCCTAAGTTAAATGTTACAACAAAATTCGATTCCTGTGTTATACGGCCTTATATTACGCGATCATAAGACGAGGAAAACCCCTGCGGAATAACCGCAGAATATTTATTTAAGGAGCAAGTGGTGTTACTAGTACTATATTTTTTGATCAGCAGTCCCACCAAAATATTCGCTAAAATTTTGGCGCTGATCCCAAGCAATCGTGTTCTGGGCGACAGCGTTCAAGTTCATTGCCTGATAATTCCCCTAATGATTACCCTAATATTTATATCTGGAGTTCATAACCCGAACATGCAATGAGGGACCGGGGATTCACTGAGTAGACGAAACCTACGAAACCGGTGAAATTCGCATCTGGGTCCATGAATATTACAAAAGTCGAGAGTATGGTGGAGACATTGGCCGAGCGGAAAACAGACTGGCGAGAAAAATAATCGAGGCCTGGTAAACGGACGCCAACTCCATCCACCGCAGCGTCGACCAACCGGCGCCATACGAGGCCGAAAGACACCATTGAGGATAGTGAAGTGTGGAACACCTGGGCTTCGGTCCCGCAACGTGTTGGTAAGAAGTCCAACGCCTCTACTACTGAGGCACGGCCTCGTCTGACCAACTGTTCGCGCGATCGTGACCCAGGTATTCCACACTTTGGGGGCCATCGCAGGAAGCTTAGTTGTATTATCCTGACGTCCCAAAAGCGAACAAGCTTCCATCGTCGGAGGCGAGTGCGGTATCGCGCCTCACAGTATTTGTAGGTGGGTGACAGTCGTGTTAAGCCTGTATGCATTCAGGGTGGTATGGAAGAAGGGGCGGGGAGGACGGAGTTCTATAGCGTCTTGCCGCCGGATGAGGGGCAGTGTATTAAGTTTAGTGGTCATCATCCGCATGCATAATGGGACTGTGGCGGCCGGGAGAGGAAGGGATGGTGACTTAATGTACTCAGTCTACGTCGGGGATTGTCGTTCGTACCTTCATTGACCTTAGCTCTCGTCCTACGCTGGTAATCGTGTTTACACTGTCACGACTGTCTGCTTTCTCGTCTGTTGGCCTAGTGGATGATACGGCTGTAGTGACGACTGTGCCCTCGTCGGGACCGGGTTGAGGGCCGGCTAAGTGTGTGTCTGCCATGGACTCGCCCATGTTTGTATTAATGTTTAGCCTGGGTTCGCGTTTGCTCTTTTGTTCATTGAGCAGCTCCCGAAGGGCTTCATAGGCCGCAGGAGGCTCCACACAACGGTTGATGGGCGCTGTCCCCGTGTGCCAAGCCTCGATCATCTCCCTGGCTATGCGGTCGTTTCCTCAACCCAGAATTCGGACATTGCCACCAGAGACAAAGGGTTCATCCTCCTTACTGCTCTCGTGTGTTCTTCAACACGGGTATGTAGTCGTTTGCTGGTCTCCCCAATTCAGTTATCTTCGCAGGACCTACACTGAATCCGGTAGATGAAGTTTGTGGTATCAGCTCGTAGCAGAGGGACCTTGGGTCTCATGATCAGATGCCGAATTATTTATTCCGGTCGTTGGTCGATGCCGATCCCTAGCGGTCTTAAGAGACGAGAGACCGCCTCAGAAACGCTGTCGATGTATGGAAGCGCCCGCCATATTTTTAGCCGCTCTGTCACTAAACGTTGACTTAACCCGGTCTGCCTGCCGCGTTCGATTAAGTTGCGAGGATACCCGTTGGGCATGAAGAGGCGCTGGAAGTAGCGTAGTTCTGACCTTCTGTCGTCCGGCTCGCTACAGCGTGTTTCTGCCCTTCTGCAGAGTGTTCGCACACAGCTGAATTTGTGGCATGACGGGCGCTTACTGTGGTAGCTCGGGATTTGACGTGTATTAGTGTAGTAGTCGTTTTAGATGCCCATTGGTATTACAGATGTCGATATGAATATGGGCAATCTGAGCGGATATTTCGGGCTAATTAACTGTCGCTATAAGTTACATACAACCGTACATTCTGATAATCCCGGATTCGAATCCGGACGATTTGTTCATTGAACTTTAAGTTCAACGCCCTACAATAGAGCCGTGGAACCGCCATCCCGCCGGTTGCGACAGGAACAATTTACTCACTTGGACGGGTCGTTCACTGAGTTGATTACAGTTCCTATGCCGTTTTGATTTGAACATCCTGTCTAGGGTCCCGCGAGAAAGTGCATAGAGGCAAATAACCGCGTGGAAGATATATCAGAAGGTATTAAGGTCGGTTGTGGATATATAGCCCCACCTGAAGTAAACAAACCACAGTGACCTCTAATACGGGACCAGCGGTAATAGGGGTTTTTACGGGTGGGGCCGGAAACGCATAGGTGACGAGGTCAAGTAATTGTATGCAAAAGAAAAGCCAGTGGGAATGCGCGGTTGTACTTTGAGTGGTTGAGAAATAGTTGCGCTAACCCATAACCCTAACCCCTAGTTCCAACCTCCAACCATAACCCTTAACTCCAACCCCAACAGTATTGTTTCCATCAGGTGGGGCTACCAAACCACATCTTACCGGTATTAAGAAACCGGGATGGCTTTTTCCGACATTTGAGCCGTCGTCAGCCAGCTAGGACCGAAGTTTTTGACTGTCCCTGGTGCCTGAGAGAGTTTTTCACAAAGTTGATCGGGTATCCGTTGAGCCAGAATAACCGATACAAGAAAGCGAGTTCTGTCCTAAGTAGCTCGTCGCTGCTGCTACGACAAAAGCTCAGTGGCATGGAGTTCGGACGCAGCTTCTTTTCTGGGTCACAGGTCAGTTGCTCCCATAATAAAGGATGACGTCGGCATTAGAGCCCCTCCGGTGGATACTCGTTGCGAGGGCGCCATCAATGAGTTTCTGGATACACACGTCTAAAGACGGAAGGATGCCTTCTGCTGCCCTTTTACGAGTAAACAGAATAGCTGGGAAAACACTGTTCAGACTCTGATACGACTGTTCAATTTCGCAGGTCTTTATGACGACATATGTATCGTCTACGTATCCGAACCACATTTTCGGCCTAGGGGTTCGCATAACACCATCTTCTGGTTGTTGTAATACGAGTTCTGCCAGTAGATGCGATTTCGGCGAACCCAGTGGCCTGTCCTTAATCTGTTCGACTTTCCATCAAACTGACAGTAGTTCTTGAGACAGAGTTTAGGTATTTCTGAGACATATTGCCGTGTAATGTCGATCGGATTATCTTGCAGACGTCAAGTTACGTTCTCAATTGCCAGGCCGTGTGATATTAAGGACAACAGAGCAGCCACATCAAATGATTGAATACGCTCATCAAGACTTACTTTGAGACCTTGAAAGTTTTTGACGCTATGTCGTGGTCCATTTGCAGGGTGCTTCAGTTACCTCGATAGCCAGTTAGTGAAGTTGTAAGTGAGCGATCCTCAATGGCGCACCTTTGGGAGTCCATATGCGTGCGCAATATGGGAGTCATTGAGACTGTAAATGTGGAGTTATCGGGGGTTATGTATTCCAATCTAGTGAGTTCATTCACGTTCTTCTTCTTCTTCTACTTCATAACATCCACGGCCTGCTTTTTAGTTGACTCCTCTGCGGGTGGTGTGTAGGGTTTCTCGTCGTTAAAGACCTGGTTAGTTTTGATAACGTAATCAGTCTTTTCCATTATGACGGTCGCGTCAGCTTTGTCAGCAGACACAATCACTATGATATACTTTGTTTCTAGAGACTGTAACCCCTTTTATTTATCAGTGGGTGAGACTTAGTGGTGTTCCTTCTGTCGAAGGAGGCCACTGGCTCAGCTGCGTTTGTACACACGCATGATTCAGGCACAGCAGAGATCAATAGGACAGATTTATGGCTCGTTAGAAAGTTTGTAGGCACAACATGGGTGTGGCCTAATTTTGTTCCTCCAGATAGTAGGCTAATTTCAGCGGATGTTGGGCTCCTCTTGGCCTTTTGTGCTCGTCGATAGGACAGAAAAGAGATTGCAGTTCCACTTAAAGACCGGGGCGCTTTTATATTCTGGGTCTAGAGGGGTGGCATTTATCCGTTGCAGCACGTCTTCGGATACATTTTCAGGTAGTGGTAAAACGCACTGGCTTCGAAGGTCGGATATTGTTGCATCAAATCTGCAAAGGCGATGGTGAATGTCAGATATAATGGCACCCAAAACCGGAAATCCGTATTTGCGCGCGAGTGGCCTTCCAGTCTCATTCGGCAGAGCGAAGAGACTTGTGTAGGTAGGATGTCGTGATCGCGAAAGCGGTGAAGAAACGTCAGCTGTTCGTAAGTAGTCGCCTGTCTCTGTGTAAATTTCTCCTAGCATCTGATAAGAATAAGCGCTGGACGTCCCAAAATATGTTGAATAGCTGAGGTGGTGTGCATTCCGAGCTGATATAATGAAGGAATAAGGCTGGTCGGAAAAAATCGAGTAGCACTTACGAATATTCAAGTTAGTGACGCCAACCCACCATCAGACGAAATTTATATATACCCAGAAGATGGGAAGACGATATCTAGGGTCAGTTGGGCATTGGTTCGGCATTTCGAATTCTCAAGCGAGTCAGTCGTCAGGGGAAAAATGGCCGAATAGCTAAATTAGCATCTAACTCTGACATTTCGACGATGTCCGCTGTGGTCCGCAGCACGGCAAGAACAGGGGTGAGGACTTGCGGGTGAATTATTTTATAATGATAGCAGACTTGTGCAGAGTCTACTGCACTCTCTCCTCCTCCCGCACCTGGATGCGGTGTCATTAATAAGTCAAGAAAACCGGAGGTGGGAGAGGCCGCAGGTGCCTTGCACGACGACAACCCCCATCTAGGCGTACTACCACACCCCGTGGTCCAGAACAAACACTTGACCACGATTTTCAACAACAATAAACATGGGCGCGGCAGGGAACCCAATTTGCTCGGTGTGAGCCTGCAACCGGGTCTGCCACCGCACTCCGCAATGTTGGCACTTGTTATGGGTGCACATTCCCTATAATGCCTACCAGAAACCGACTTAGCCCCCGTGTTGGTCCAGTGCATCTACTGCGTGACCCGTTTCAGGGACACACCACTGAGCTGCTCACCCACTAACTGATGAGCATCTATCCGATCGATATGCCTATTGGTCGAGTCCCCAGTCCAATGACGCGCATCCCGCAGAAGGCTCGAAATTCGTTCATCCGGCTGGCCCAAGATTCTCACGTAGTTGTGCCCTGGAAAGGACGAGGAGGCGGTGACCAACAAAAGCCTATCTTTCCTTCTCACAGTTAGTTCTTGTTTACACTGTCTCGTTTGGAATAGTTTACTAGTTTTACCAACATAACCGGCTTAGCCACAATGGCTTTTTATCCAGTAAATGATGTCAAACTTATGATTAATGGACATTGGTTGTAGGCGGACGGTCATTTCCGGTCTGTGGGCAGTTCCAATCCCAAATTCGCTCATCAACCTAACTAATTATTCTGAAACAACAGCAATAGATGACACTGTAGGCCAGCGCTTTGGTTTTAGTTGTTCCATCGGGTATCCTCCTGTAGCTTTTCGCCCGCATCTTTTGATCAAACTGCTGGACAAAAACGATCGAGTTTTCTTGCTTGGATTTCGCAGAATTTTCACGTCTGTGTCCCGTACATGTGCACAATAAAACTATACATCATTAATTTGGTGTTGAGGCGGAGGCAGTGACCGTTCCAGACGGTGTACTCCAGCCTGCCCGTAGGCTCAGCTAGCTTTGGCTATCCGACTTGAAAGTTCGTCACAGATTTTGATGTTTCTTGAAATTGTACTCTCTCCAGGTCGGCTAATTTATCTATTGGGGTAGGGCGAGTCCCACCTACTTTAATGGCGACTACGTGGTAGTTAAAGTTTGGCGCTGGTTGACGCCGATATTTAACCTGAAATTGAAGCGGCCGGAGGCGATGTGTTCCCCACTCCGCTGCATGTCCTGTTCCGTTGGGCGATGAGCACATGGTCGTCCTCAAGCGGCAGGTCGAGGCCACAGGCCTTGAATACTGCCGTGGATTCCTACATGTGTCGAATGCTGAGCCATTGTCAGCCGGTTTGTTAGGTACTGTCCGCCACTCACGATGGGCGTCCATCGCAGTAGCGAAGAACATGAGCATGAAGAGGGTGGGAGCGACTACACCACTCTGATTCATCCCATCTGTCGCCGTAAACGCTTTTGAAGCCCGTCAACTGTCCCTGGCACTCTGAACTGAACACTGTCAAAGGCCTTCGTCAGGCTGACGAAGGTGGTGCTGAAGCTGGTCCACATGTCCTGGCACGTTTATTGCAGCTGGTGGACGACAAAAATCATTTATGTGGTTCCAGGGTGTTTCAGA